CCCCACACACACACATTCTCTTTCAAAGCCAGGTGGAGGTGGTAAAGACATTGTGCAAAGACACAACTTTATCATTTGAAGCTGAATTTTAACATCTTATTTTCTCTTATTAAAATGGTCATAACAGCAGTGAAACATGTAATCACTGAAAACACCAAAGCTATCTGGAGAAAATAACATAACCAGCAGTTGTACTTGCAAACAGCAGATTGTAAACAGATTATGGGATTTGTCAAAGACTGACCTTCTGTTAAGCAGCACCTGTATTCAACAATGAAAAAAAAGAGATGTGTACCCATTACAACCAACAGATGGCACTCTGGTAACACCCAGACCTCGGGGAAGACAGTTATGATGGAGGTGGATTAACACTTGGAATTATAAGGATTTAGAAAGGAAAGTGTGATGTGTTTTGTTTAAGAGCAACAACACAACAGCTTGTACACAGATAAGTTGGACATTGCATCATTCAGTAAAATCAAATAGATTCTGAAATCTGTTTTATTTCACAAAATGCCTGTTAACTTTAATAATTTGACAAGAAAGTGGAGCTCAGAGTCAGACCCTTTAGTTCAACAACTTTTTTCTTTAAATCATTCAAGTCTAAGAGCAGGGTTACCTTGAACAAACTGTTTGACACTGAGGTTTCTGTACAGGGACCGAAGTAGATGGTCAGGGAGCCTCATTTTTCCCCGTCTACCAAGCGCAGGACTTCGGTTAATCATCGCTCTGACGTGGCTTTTGCTGGGGAAACGAGATGAAGTGAGTACAGGGACTCCTCTACTCGGGCCAAATCCGGTTAGACCCCCGTGGTAAATGCCACGACCCCTGCTTCGAGGCAGTGGGAGTCCACTCAGAGACATGCCACGTCTATTTGGGGCAGACTCGTCAAAAACAAGGTTGTGCTTGTTGTAGACAAATGAGAGCGACTCGCCGCGACCTTGAGGATCCCAATTCGCAAGGTCAGACCAGCCCGAGGCTTGAAACAGCGTTGGCGGGGCAACATGCTTGACCTCCTCAAAATTGAACCTGTGGTTACTGTCCATCTGTCCTCTGGGAAAACTGGTGTGTTCGCTTTGAACTGGCTTGTAAGCGCCGCGGCTCAGTAGAAATGTGGACTTAGAACTCCTGGGTTGAGCTTGTTTACGTGCGCCGTCATCGAATGATCCCACTTGTCGTTCATTGTGTCCGTCAGAGGCCACGTTAGATTCTCCCTCATCAGGATCATCGACTTCATGCGGTTGAGGCGTCAGTGGCATCATGTCAGGGTGCACCTCATGGTGAGCTGGTCCAGAGAATTCCGGGGCTCCGTGGACTCCAGGATAATCCAAACCCAAGGCAGCGGCACGTGCTACAGCACAACAACATGCAAGACTGTATTAATTCTCCGTTTGCTGCTTTATTGTTCAAATTTCAATTATTTCAAGAAATTACAAAAACGCCTGCCAAATAATAATTATAAAAAAAGGCAGTAACATCAGTCAAAGTGCACCACGTACCTCTTGCTGTTTTCGCACAGTAGAAACCTCCAGCTGACACGGAGGGAAGCATGACGACGCTGGAAAAGACAACAAACAAGTGTAACCCAGTGTAACAGCACAGCGCTGAGCAGCTACTCTGTGTTTGTATTTATAACTTAACATTCAGGTTTACAATACCTGAGAAGAGCCACCAGAGGAACACACATCCCTGCAGTCATGTCAGCATAGACCTCATGGCAACACAGTCCCTGAGACACTCGCCACTGTTGACTTCTTCTGCTGCCGCCACAACCCCTCACCCCGACTTGATTCTGTAATTCCAGACAGCTGCTCGTCACAGAGACTGAAACCAGGCGGCCACTGGCAAACTGTTTCATTACCAGCAATTATTTCAAATGCTCGCTGGCAGCACAATCCAATGAAACAATGCATTTTCTTCATGTTAGTGAAAAACCACATTTAACAAACGTAGGCATGAAGAGATAAGAGTCACGCAAATATTTATTTATATGCAGGCTTGTTATTCTGTTTCTATGGGCTTGCTTGTAAAAATTAATAAATGTGTAAATAGGCCTGAGTGAAATCCTTTTGCGTGACTTGAATAATTTGCAGCGAGAATAATAAAAAAAAACATGTCACATTATAACTTTACACTGCCTGAACAGGTAGCTAATTAAAACCTCTAATACAGTAGACCTGAAGCCGTGATAATGATATACAGTTTCCGCATGATTACAGCAACCACCACAAATTCATAATGATCCCATTAAGCTTGACCTCTTTTATTAAACGGTTCACAGAACACAGAAAACATTTGGAAACTTTCAGCAGAGGCAGTGGATAATTTTTCCTTTTTCTTCATCATAACCGTGAACAGTTGAAGACAAATGTTTTTTTCTATAGCACAGTCAATAATAGTTGTATGTGAGGGACAGAAAGGAACTGAGCTGGGATTCTTGCAGCTGGGTTCCTCTGAGCCGACAATGAAGCAGCAGAGAGCCGCGGAAGCATTTAATAATTCACCCAAATCATTTCTGTCAGGACCGACAAGTTAAACAGGGGCTTGATTTAATTCTATAATTGCACATTCACCTTTGGCCTGAACCCATACTTTGGTAATTAATAGGCCCGAGCTTTATTTGAAATGTGGCACAGCAACTAATGGAATTCAAATTGCAGGTGATGTGAAACCAAAGAAGCCGCTGCCCGTTTGGCCACGGAGCTCGTGTTATTTTTTTGCCACCGCTGCGTCACCCAGTAGAGAGCGATGCCAAAAAATGGCACCAACCCTCAATCAACCTTCTGCTTCAAACTAATCCTCTGCACCAAACATTTGTACGTTGTTAAGGATGGACCAACTTTGTCCTGAACTTTGCTATTTGACCCGTGGATTTCAGCACATGAACTGTTTTAAGATGCTTTCAGACATGCATTGAACCCTGGAGATCCTCCTGACATTCTCCAGGGAGGCTGTATGTGTGAATGCAAATGTCCACATGAGAGCCACTGGAGTTTCTACGACATCCCTGTGAGGTCATGTCTGAAAATGGCTTTATAAACACTGGTGGTGGCTCGTCCCTCAGCACAGTCTCTGTATTTGCCTTGCACTGCCTGACATTTCTGGGGACTCTAAAGCAGATCTATATGGACGAGGTTGATTCGCTTGACTCAGACCCTCCAGAGGCAAGTGAGTATACGAGGTCAGCAACAGAGGATCAGGACTCCACCTTTTCAACCTCAAGGTGACGGCGAGCCCCCCCGCCCTCTCTCTGCTCCAGTCGGCCCCTCTGGGCCTCATTTGCGACGAGCAGGAGGTTTGCAGTCATCTCCACAAGATGTAGACACAGAGAGCGAGCGGCCTCAGCGGACTGCCAAATGACCAGTGAACTCTGACACGGCAAAGGCACAATGTTCCGGTAATGGCTGCGGCGACCAAAAGGTGGATTATAATGCAGCACTATCAGGATCGGGATGAAATCACACACATTTGTTTCAGGCTAATTTTCTAAACTGGTGTAAGTATGTATCAGAATCAATTAGGCCTAATAATATACAATCCTTAGAGGATTCACATCAAAGCACATAAGCACACAATCCAATTAAGAGTGTTTACTGTTTAGATTGAAATGCTCAGCGTTCCGCTCTTAAACCCAATCCGCATATCAGTAAACAGTATTTGCCAATGTGTCTTCTCCAGCGGTTGCGTGTGGGTGTTTGTGTATGTGTGTGTGTGTGCGTGCATGTTTTTATGTATGAGTCGAGAGAGATAAACAGTGAGAGTATATGTGCAGCCTTGCAATACTTAATGCAGTTTTTTTTTGTGTGCATTTTTTTTGCATGTTAGTGTGTTTCCAGGACATGCATCCCTGATACCGAGGCTGAGGACCACAAGAGATTCGGTAATCGGGAATTACAGACATTTTATCTGCTATTTTAAAGCGCTTAATGGTGCTACAGCGATTTTCCCAGGAGATTCAAACCGCTATAGGCAAAAGGACATATGTCTGTGTGTCATATCTGAGGAGAGCACATCATAAAGCCTCTATATCTACTACCACATATGGTTATTTCTTTTTTATTCATTATAATATATTGAAATAGGTGGACAGCAGAACACTTGTACTGTAAAGACCAAAGAGGATGAATCACTGAGGCTTGAGGCTGTAAAGCAACATTCAAGTGACCTGAAACTCTGGCACTCAATGTGCTTTGAGATAAATAGTAAATATGTATATAATGAAGGATTTGTCTATCTCCAAATACCAATCAACGGAGCGGGCAGAGGAAACGAGACACACACACACACACACACACACACACACACACACACAGACACACACATACAGTGAGCAACAGATTCTGTGTGAAGGAAATGGTCAAAAATAAACACTGAGTGAGATATCGACAGAGAGTGATTGTGCACTCGAGGAAGCAAACCATTTGTTCGCACGTTACCAAATTAGCCAGCCCTTCACTTCATCTCCTGTTCATACGCACATTCATTATAGAGACTTGCCCGCACCCGGCACGCTGAGCCTGCAATTTTAGACAACAATTAATTTGGGTCTTTTTTTGGAGCCTGCCTTTCTCATCTTTTAACTAAATGAACATGGGCTGTTTCTTGCAATCTGTCCCTCTCTCCAGGCTTTCCAAAACAAGAAGAAGAAGAAAAAACTCAACTATAAAATGCTGGATAAGGCCTAAAGTATAATTAACAATGACACCACCAGGATGGCTGCTTTAAATTCCATACTAATTATAGGAGAACGAGCCGTCAGCAAACACTGCTTGTGATATCCTAAACAAGTGGCCCTGGTGGGTGGTTCCAGCAAACGTGCAGTGGCGTGCATTGGGGACACATTCACCTGTGAGGCCTCGTTTCCATGTTATGGATTCCACTTTGCGCGGCGCCGTCCCACACCATCTCCCTGCTCGGCTCAGCGTCAGGGATTAATTAACCGTGTCTGGTTCTACAGAGGCCGGGAAACCCAAGCGAGCCAGTCAGGAGAAAGAAGGGAAACGAGCGGTGATGAATAAACACCGCTGTCTTCCTCGCAGTGTTTTTGCTGTCCAAGCACAAGGCATCACCCTAATTCCCATGATGCTCAGCAGCAGATTCTGACAGGTTGAACTCATTATGTGTCACATCCTCATGCAACTGTGCTGTATGGTTGAACTAATTATGCGAGTAGATTTGTAACTCTACAAAATCTTCAGTTCAAATTGTTTGTGCATTGCTTCTGACTTTTTCCTGCATCACATAATGAACACACATATTGAAGATGTGCTGTCAAAATCACGATTCTCTAATTACATTTCCTAAAAGAGGCAGAATCCAACGGAGTCACCTGCCACTGTCTCAGCCTCATAGTGTTTCATAGATAAACTGCCTAACTCATTATCTCTTAACATTTACTTTTGAGGGATTTAATTTGAGTATTTTTCCACTCTTTGGCTCAGACCACTAAGTAACCATGTTTGTTCAATCTCAGCGTCATCAACTCAGGCTAATTAAACTAGAAAAACCATTACCAGCATGTCACAGTTTACATCTACCATTTCCTTGGTCCTTCAGCAACACATCTCACGTCCGAAGGTGATAGGATGAACAGTTTTTGATATTTGATGCTAACTACATACATGCACACAGTCACATTCCTCACATTATAGTAAGATATTAAAAAAGCAATGGAGACAGCAGCACAAACTTCTGTCTGAAAGCAACTTAAGCCCATTATGCATATAAACTGAATAAGCTCAGAAGCCTCATATAGTGACTCCTGTTCTCCACGGTGCAGTACTTTACTGTTTCCATGTTCTGAATTTATCCACAATAAAAAAAACATTTGATCAATTGGTTTTCTTGCATTAAAGACATGGGATCACGTCCTGACTCTGAATCATAGTGTGCATCATCATAGTTATCTATGTGCTCAGGATGAATCCAGTTTGGATTCTGAATCCCTGTGAAGGAGTCAGCAGGGTGGAACTCACTTCAACCTGGATCAGCTTTGAAATGCTCCATCACTGGGAGACCAGGAGCATACATTTGTTAGCTGTAACCCTCAGTGAATCACCTAAACGTCTGTAGGTGAAGACCCTGGTGGGAATGTCGGTCTGATCCTGCGCACACAGGGACATGCCCTGCAGGGATGGCCCCGCTGCTGGTGTGGTAGGTGGCACAGTTCTGGAGGATTAAGCGCTGCACCAAGTGATGCACTGGGGGAAGTCAAAAAGGGTGGAGGAGAAAATGAAGCCATAGACGACAACAAAGCCTAGAAAGGATGAATAAGCCTAGAAAGAACTAACAAAATAAATGGAGAGCTGTGAGGCTGATCCTGGAGATTGCTGCAATGCCTCCATCATCTCTATCTCACCTGAAAACCTGACAAATATTCCTTTGGCTGGCAAAGAAAGTCCGGACAGTTCTTTTTCTCATTGAAAGCTGCCATGAAAAAAGTGCAGTGACGGAAAAAAGTCAAGGTCAAGAACTCCCTCTGTTGTCTCCTTCTTGGCCTGCTGACATGGGCTGTGTCTCTAATGAAAGGGTGGAGGGTGGTCGGGGTGTTAATCGGCCTCTGCCTCATTAATGAGAGCTGGAGAGCGGTTGTGTGGTGCAACCTATATCGATCGTATCAAGAAAGAAAACCTGCATCACAAACAAACCTGTGCTCTGTCTTCACCAGTATTCAAGTATCACTCACCATCTTTATTCATTGATTACACAGAGGATGTGTTCAACAGAGGGATCTCTCAGTGGGACTAAGGATTTAACCATTGTCACAGAAATAGATTTTCAAACTCTCCACTTGCTATCACGACTTCATTGCCTGTTTTTCACAAAGCT